TGAGCTGGCTCATTCAAATCTTGATACAGCGCGCGCGCGCGAGCACGAGCTCGTTCTCTCGTGTACACAGGGAGGCTCGCGTTCTATTGTCGGCATCAAGGGTCGGATACGTGGCCCCATAGTTCACCGTTGTATCGGACGTACGGTTTTGAATTAATTGCCCGCGGATTCGATTCCCCGTCCCTCGAGCTTCTAGCTCCGCGCTTCGTATCGACGTTGCTCGCGCTTCCACGGATGCCGCGCGTATTTCCCCGACGCTAATCCTTAGCCGGATAAAAGTTTCGATGGGAGTTACGAGACTCCCCAGCCGGATACGCGACTTTTATCGGTTGGATACGGAAAAATTGTTTTTCTTTTTGTTTTTTTGTGGGGGCGTTTTGTTTCTTTATCCTTTTTTTCTCACTTTTCTTTGCAGCAGGTCGGTTACGTTTTCGTGCAAACAGGTCACTCTTCGTGTATTTGGTTTTCAGCGGTGCTTTTTTTGTAAGTGAAGCAGCGTGGAAAGTTTACGTAGCAGGTAGAAAAGGTATGGGAGTTAATTAAATGGTAGTTTGGAATGGAAATGTCGTGGAGTTGTGTTTGCATTGTTTTTTTCACCGTACACTGGGATACACGGGAATGGATATTTATTGAAATTTGTGGCGGAGTTGGGTGAAGGTAGTGTAAATTTAGATTTTACAATTTTGAAATACTTGAATATTTAAATTTTTAAAGTTTCAAATATTAAAATCTTCGAATTGTCAAACTTTCAAACACTTAGTTGTATAAATTTTCAAATACATAAATCCTCAAATTTTCAAACTTTCAAATATTTAAATCTTCAAATTCTCAAATTTTCAAAAATACTTAAATATTTAAATTCGTAATGTATAAGACACGAAATAACACTCCCCATAAACAGTTCCATTTCCTTCCAACAGTTCACATAAAACTAACACAACGCAAATTAAAAACATTCTACCTCGTTTACATTTCGAGCTTTCAGAACCTAATCGATACAGACTGAATACCTTAACTTCATGCATCACTGTAACATAAAATTACGCTTACGTCAAAACTACTAGCAGCAAGTAACTTCCCGTGACTTATGAAAGTGTATCTTCATCTTGAGTACAGTTTCTTTCAAACTTTGATTGAAAGTGGAAACCTTCTCGTGGAAGTGAATATACTGCGCAGGTCTGATAGATTAGAAGTGCAGTACATTGGTGGAAGCGAGTCGATCAAGAGAGTCAGTTAGTCAGTCGCAACAAGTTCCGAAACCTGAGACAGAGATAGAAGAGAGTCAAATAGTTGAAGTTCGACGATTTAGAGAGTTCGTTAAAGAATCTCCAGAATTTATGCAAGTTTATAGCAGTGTATCCCTGTTAATAAGTATTAAATGCAGCCGCCGTTAATCAAGAAACTTTCTCACGCTGTACGTATGCGTGTGTATATCTACGCGAGCATTTCTACAGTCGCCGCAATTTCTTCTTTCTCGAACCACTAGGGGCAAACTTTCCTCCCTTGCTTCCTTCTTGTTCGCTGTAATTTCTTACCTGGAACTTTGGTCATTTGGAAAAGCGATCTTCCCCCCCGCTCGAATATTATTTATTTCATCGAATACTTGAAATTTCGCTAATTCAACCTGCGACACACTTACAATCCTATCACGCGTTTCTGTATAATTGCACGAAAATGTATATACAGCGTCTGCATGGTCGGGTGTAATCATGTAAATGCAGCTAGAATTGAACCACGTTCCTTCTTTTTTTTCTTATCTTTCGTTTCAATGTACCGGCTAAATAACCAATGGTGGCTCGACCGTAGAGCGGCGGCAACTTCAAAAGAATTAATTTCCATAATTATCTTAATTCCGTCGAGGGTCAGGAGACGCCTACGGTTGGTATTCGCTTCTTTTTCTCTTTTTTTCCCTCGTGGTGTGATAAGAAACGGAAGCAATTATCGAATTGCGTTTCCTGGTATTTGAAATGAAGCTCGCTAGCCAGAATAATCAGGACGATAATAATAATCGTACTCAGGCTGGTGTGATGGTGTCGTTTTCGTTAATTAACGCCAAATTCCGGTAAACAAGTTCGAACGAAACTCGAACTTTCTCTCTCTCTCTCTCTTCGACGAGCCCTTTCAGAGATGTCCATAGTGAGCGTTGGAGAACTTGGAACCAGGTCACGATCACTCTTCCTGTTTCACCCAGGAGAACTTACCTTTCTCAGATATTTGCAAGATTACATTAAAAGGAAATAAAATTTCCAGCTTCTTCAGCAAAAGGGAACTTCTATATCGAAGGATCGATATTCAGCTACTTTCCAGAGGCTTCCGAAAATTCGTTTAATTAGTGATTAATCTCGCGATAGAGAGAAAACGCGGAAAAGTATTGAAATTAATGGTTTTTTCATTCTGAGAAATTTTATTATTAAATTGCAAAGGAAAATTTACAATTCTACTCTTCGATACACTGGCTAATTTAAAATTAGTAATTAATCTCGTAAAAGACAGAAACGCGAGAAAGTACAGAAATTAATATTCTCCCATTGTAAGAAATTATATTTTTAAATTACAAAGGAAAATTTCTAATATTAATCCTTCCATACACTGGCTAATCTAAGATTAATAATTAATCTCGTAAGAGACAGAAAACGCCAAATAGTATTAAAATAAATGTTCTTCTTTTTATTCTGAGAAATTACAGAGGAAAATTCTACTCTACTCGATTCACTATCTTCGTGAAACCCTAGATTTTCATAAATTACACTCCAAATTCGTTCGTTTCACGATTACGCATTGCACGAGGCGTTAGAATGACATTTCATGAAATCCTGACGGATAATAATCACCGAGCCGTGTTATACAGCGTCTTCCTCTTACGAGGGAAAGGCGAGACGACAAGTTCGATTGAATCAGCACGATTCCATCGCCGTTACGTATTGCCCATTGCGTAACCGCTCGAATCCGCAGACATTTGCGAACGCAGGACTCGTGAGGAGGGGGAACGAGTCCTTTGAAGTCGCTCGCGATCGAGGAAGCAATTCCTGTGAGTCTGACTGACGATCGTCGTGGAAAGTAATGGGCACCAGGAATATTTCGTCGTTGAAAAATATTCAAAAAAATATAGCAATTTCTTTTGCTAAAAAAAAAATTCCAGTACAGTGTGTAACAAAGATTTCTGGACCAAAATTGCAAAATTTTATGTTCTTTCTTTTTTAATTTGAAACATTTTAGACACTTGACATCGCTCACAGGGAAAGTCTGCCAGCTCGAAAATTTTAGAAAATTTGAAACTTTGCAGAAATGTAGTGACGCTAATAGCGCAATATTATTTTTTTCAGAAAATTAAGAGTGATGGGGGTGAATTTTGAAAAAACGATTCTTTAGCACCATAACGTAGGATATTAGGAACCGTGCAACTTTAAATTTAACTTTTTCTCCGTATCTTGTAAGGTTTCGTAAATATTCACGATAATATGAAAACTCAATTCTTTAAAGGGGTGTTTTTACCCCTAAAAACGTTTCATTGTCGAAACAAAAAATAGTTTTGTTATTAGCGTCAGTTGAACTACATTTCTGCAAAGTTTCAAATTATTTTGAATTTCCTCAATAATCCCTTTTTCGCACTCTTCCATATCATCACAATAACTAATTAAACACAGAATTCGCATAATTTGATACACCCTGTATTTTAGAAATAAATAAACCAACGATAATATTCTACGACATTTAACGCGATTGATAGCATAACGCGATGGATAGCATAACAAAATGAAGGATCAATCACGGGTTCACATTTCATCCAATAATTCAAAGATCGGCAATATCCTATGCTACTGTAGGATCAATCAGTATCGAGTACCATAACCACGCGTGATTGGTATCGACTCATCCGAGCCAAGGACTAATATTGTCCATTCTGCTGATCACAAACTTGCCAATACCATGTCGATACATCTCGTTGCTATTAAATTTCACGATTCGACGCTTGTCCACCGAAAATCCACGACACGACAATTTCGACGTACCTCGAAAAACAATCAGTTCTCTATACCTTTCAGTTCAAATTCGATCGTTTCGTGAGACAGGTTACGAATGCATACGAGACCAATATTCTATCATAGTTACATGCAACGAAATGAAGTTTGTGTCGAATTACAGATAGGCAAAATTCCATCCGACAGTAGAAAATAGTCTCTGATCGAAAGTTGCTAAAATTAATTAGCCCATGGCTCCAAAAAAGTCGCCTTTGTCCAATGATAGATTTATAGAACTTACGGTTTGCGCATGCGTCTCATTTGCGCGCGTTTTCTTAAACGTTTGAATTTAAAAGTTTGTTAGTTCTTTTGGATATAAACTTTTATTCGTCTTTATGTTGTTTCGTTCGTATTCTTCGTAATCGGAATCGCTACGATTTCGATACTTTCCGATACGCTTTATTTGCGGGCTCGCGAGTGTGAAAGAAGATCTATAGGGTTTAGTCGTAGCGCGTTTGAAGGCAACTGGCTTCCCCGAAAACGGATTCGTCTTAACCGAAAAGTCTCCCCGTCCTTCTCCCCACGGTACCGTTACCAGCATGCTGGCCAGGATGGCGAGGAGAACGTCCGCGGGGATCGCGCGAACGAGGAGGCCAGCTGACGGGCGCGGATTGTCGTTCGAGGCGATGTGCTCGAACAATGTAAATTGTTAATACCAATTTATTGTATAACGTAGAAATAGAAATATAAAGATCTTTGAGTTATATGTGGCCTTTGACGAGAAATGGTCACATACGCCAAAGTGCCATTTCAAGAAAATCGATTTCAAACTTTCCATTATCGCGTTACTTAATAAAAAGTAATGCAATTAAATCCAACAGATTTACATTTCACATACCTGAGTCGACTTAAACGATTCAAGCACACCAGTCTGTGTGCCATTTTTCCATCAATCGCCTCAATTACAACTATTGCCTAAAAAGGATTCCCCACAAAGAATAATTGCTAGTTTACTGAATTGTGTGTCTCTTTTTGTTACAGGTGCGAGGGTGGTTGGCTTCAGCTAGAAGGCGGCGCTAGAGTTTGTGGCCACGACAAACGTTTCCAACAACCAGTCGTGTTGTTCTCCGACAAACCTATGCCGATCCTTCACATGCAGTGAGTACATATAGTACTTGTTACGTTATTATGTTCGTTATGGTGTTATTAGGTTGGTTCCTAAGTTCGTGCGGTTTTCATTTCGTATTGAACGAAGTTCCTAACATTTATCTATCGGCAATGTGATATAGCTTCTCCTTTCTTCTTTGATGTTATTGTGGATTTTTTCCTTCTGTGCTGTAAGAGGTATTTAAGGATAGGAGGATAGTGCGTGATCTGGGTTACTTAGTACCCACACAGTAAGTTCGTTTTTAGTCTTTATTATTTATCTGGCTCACGAGGTTTACACTTTACTGACTGACTGCTTGACTGACTCTCAGTCACCTCGCGAGCTTCTTTCTCACCCTCCTCTTTTTCCTGATTGGTTACCCCCAACTTATTGGTTGTAACCAATCAGGAATTTCATCTTTAACCCACCGCTAGTCCTTTGCGCCCTTGGCGCGCTTTTTCCAGGACCGCGGCGAATTACGGTGAGGGCGTATTGTCCGCTGTAGCGCATTTGGCGACGCCGCGGATTTTCCTCCAGGTCCGGTACTTGGGACATGTGGCCTGGGCCTCTGGGCCCGTACGCGGACCTTTCGGCAACCTTTGGTTTATGACCTGACAAATTGCTATTGAGAGCGTTGATGAAAGTTTCTACGAAAACAGACTAAAACGGTTTCCTCAAAAATAGCTTCGCTAGCGCGCACGTCATGAACCGTGTTGGTCGTCCCCGCGGCAAATGATTGCTTCCGCACTACAGCTGGTCGCCACAGTGCTAATAACAAAATTAGGTTTAGGATTCGAATTTTAGGTTTAGCTTTATTGAGATAATTCTCGGTGTCTTTACAAGCTCGCGCATTTTTCACGAGGCCACTGTTATACCACGCTTCTCGTGCATTATGTACTCTCTCGCGTACTCACGCTTCGCACTGTTATTCCGCGGCGAAGAGAGGAGTCTCGAAGAACGTTTCTTAGTGTGTAAAAGTGGTTTTATTAATATAATACAGGAATCACGTACAGAGGACGTTTTCACTATGACGTGCGCGAGACGAGGTGAAAACAACTATTGCTCCAAATGTGTGGGGACGCTGTCCTTTATCCCTTCGTTTTTCCTGGGGTTTGTACCCTTATGAGTAAGCCGTTCGAGCTTCGAACGGCCAAAGGATCCTCCTGGTGCGTCAGGATAATGACTATTCTAAGCGGTGTCACTATCCTAACAGCACGACGAAAGACACGCTAGTCATTTGTCCTCCGCGCACGCGCTCGCTTGACCGTAAGGCAGAGCCTCTTAACTTCTTGCTCACGAGAAAATTTCCCCTCCCGAAGTTCCCCCACTATGCGACTGAGATGGTCACGCTTGATTTGCGGCGCAATGGGAGGAGGATGCGAGGAGTCCTCCCACCACAACTCCAGCGACTGCCGTTGGTTTATGTTACACATTCTGCGTGTCCGTACCGCATAGTGGGGGAACCTCGGGAGGGGAAATTTGCTCGCGAGCAAGAAGTGAAGCGGCTCTGCCGTACGGCGTTGCGCCGATCTCGCCGTTTCCGTCTTACACAAAACGATTTTTGTTGAAAAAGCACGGAGTGTCGGGTTAGGAAAAATGAGCGTCGAAATGAGTTTAAGTAAAATTTGACAAAATGGCTCTTTAGGACTTTGGATGACAAGTTCTCCAACATCCACCCTACTCTTTTTCTCTCCCTCCAAAATATTCTAAATAGATTATCCTTCCGCAACGACGTGCAACTGCGAAAACTGTTCAACAATTGCTTCACATCCAAAACTGTCAAAAAATTCAAAACCTATGAAAATCCAAAAGCCATCGGAACGTTAGGAAGAAATTGTATCTAATGGCAGAGAATGCGTTATTGATTAATTCACGTCCAATACTTCGAAAAATAAACTGAAAAACCGTATGAACTTATGGACCAACCTGATACAACTTAAAAAATTCCTTCATTTTTTTATCACACGCGTACTTAGCAAATCTTCAACATAGATTCATACAGAATCTTCGTATGAAAAAATGTTACTCTACATTTTCGACGTATTTTTCTCCACCATAAATTCGGAGACACCCTGTATACATCGAATCCTCATCGCTGCATCCTCGAAACGTTCGATTTTATTCGTCGAAATTCGATAGGGAAAAATTCCGGCGAGCATCGAGTTCCAAGTAAATTTAACTGGCTCCTTTTATCTCCTGCTCGACCATCAACGCGATATATCGAATCGAAGACGGTACTGAATTCCGATGTGGTTCGTGCTCAAACTAACCTATTAACGGGCGATCCGTTTTTAATTAAACGTCTTTTTTTCGTCGCTATATTTTAATATAGGGAGCACGTGCTGCCTTCGTACATTACGATACCCGGTAATCTATAGGATCCTCGGAAGAATTCGTTCGCAGCCTGTTAATAAGCTTGTTCATTTATTTAATAACCCGGAGAGCGTGAGGCGTGAAGTGAATGAACGGGTAGTAGAGAAACTAGGAAGAAAAGGAAATTTCCAGATTGAAAATGGCACGGTGAACTAACGAAGAGGAGCGGTTGCTTACAAACAAACAAGCCTGGCGAGTAGTAATGGAGAAAATGCAATCGGAATGAATTGCTGCTTTGCAAAATCGATTTAACGTCGTTGCGCGAATTACCGTGGACAACGATACTACGAAAGAGATAGAATTCTGGCGCCATTACGAAATAGGAACACGTCCTAGGCTAAGTGCTTCTTACTACTCAGGCTGTAGTATCGTTTCAGTTAGCCCAACGAACAGCGAAAGCGTTCCTTTTCACGCGTATCGAATTTTACTTTTAAACTACGACAGGTTCTTCACTCTGGCGAAAAAATATACCTCCCTGTGCTACACACTTTCTACACCTTTAACCCTTTCGCTGTAAAGACTCTGCAAAAATGGTCACTCATTTACGAGGTCGTTTTCACGAGATCCACCCTATATATAGGGGAGAGTCCTGCAGTACCGGCCACTCTGAGATTTTGTACTATAACTTGGGCTAACGTTGGTAAAAATGAAATTTGCAAAAAGTAATTTGTAGTACAAAGGGTGCTTGATAAAAGGGGACAAATGGTTTTTCTTAAATTTTAGAAATAAAAAAGTTGTAATTTGCAGCGAACGAAAAATTGTCGTACAGTACCGGCCAGCTACTTAGTTGGTAGATTTGAAGGTCTATGTGATAAATAATGTTAGTAAAAATCGCAAGTAAAGTGATCGATATTTTCTTGATCCGTACACTCCACGTGAGCCCAACCATTGCAGCTATGAGAAATAACTTTTGTCGTACGGAACACCGGCGTAAACGTGAAACGTCTTAGAACTCTGGTAATACTGAAGAAAAAAGAACGTCGCCGGAATACGTTGCTCAGGGCTGTAGTATTCATTTGTTTTTCCATCAATAGTGCAGTCAACTAATAGTATAAGCGAGATCTAGCTTTGGCCGGTACTGCACGATTCTCCCCTACGCCCATCCAATACGTATAATCAGTTAATTAAGTTTTGCACTTGGCAAATAAAATATCGCTGTCGATTGAAAGTCAGAGACATTTGACTATCACGAAACATAGTCGATCTTCAATCATAAGTATCTTCATTTTGATGCCAACGTTGAATAATAATAACTCTCTTGTCCAGTGCACAGCGAGTACTTTTTGTCTCAAGCGAGCCGTAACAAAATGTTCAACGAGAATTTCGAAGTCCAGACAGAAAATTTTGTCGTTTTCGTCAATTTTGAAGAGTATGAATAGCAGCGAAGGAAATGGTCGTTGTATAAAAGGAGTTCAACAAAGAAGGTAATAAGTCCTCGAAGAGGTATCCGTGGTATTTACTTCTCGACTAAAGGGGACCCTCGCGTAATTAATTGGCTCTTTTTCCCTTTGTCCACCATTCACGCGGCGTTATCCGGAGTTTTTGCGTGCCTTCATTTAAATGCAAATTAATTTACCTTCTCGCGAAACGAAACGGCTTCCTCTCCGTCGACTGTTTCCAGACCGCGATTACTTTTCGTTAGAGAGATCGTGTCGAGCGTTAATCTTCCCTCCTCGATCGTCGTTAATTACGTCCTCGTAACGCGATTAATACTGCACGTCCGACGAACCTGCCTTCTATCCTTCGTTCAAGTTCTTCGTTAAACTTGGATAATATTTTACGGTGTAAGCTATTTTTTCTTATTTTCCCGAGTGAGAGATGATTTAATTACTTAAGAGGACTCTGAAGATGAAGATACGAACCTTTGTCGTCTAATGAACTTTTATTAAAGATATTTTGCGGAAGTGCTACTTACAGGTTATTTAACGTACATTTTTTTCATGTACTTTTTACATTTCTTTAACTTATAAAGAAACTTCGGAATATTCGAGTTTCTTTGAGAATTCAATATTTCCACTTCACTTTTCTCAAAAAATTGATTTTGAGAAATTAATTTCCTCGGAAACATCTGTGAAACGTATCTACTACTCTCCCACGATTCATCTTCGTAATTCAAATATTTTTCCTCCAACAATAACGAAGATGAAGGTTGCTCCAAACAATTCTTGTGGTCGCGACGCTCCTTTGGGATTTTCCCGAAAGGGAGAAATTGTGGCATTTGAATAATTGATTAGTAGGTTGGGAGACGCGAAAGTAGGGAGCAGAAACGTCACGGAAATGCAAAGGACCTAACTGTAAACCTGCTCGTGCTCCTTAATTGGCGAGAAGGCAGAGACCACCAGGCAAAGATTCCTACTGTCTCCGTGAAACGTTTTCATTACTCGTGAAGCTTATTAAATATTTATAACGGAATCACCATCTTCGATGTATACTCGCGTACGTCGAACGTCGCCGTATACATAAAAGATCGGTGTTTTCGCCACGCATCTTGTACTTTTTCAAACTCGAGCTCTGCGACGATTCTTCCTTTGCGCTCTTCAAAGCGCCTTCCTTCCGCGATTTTCATACTCCTCGAGAACGCTTTCCGCGCGATCAGCTTTCGTTTCGACGTTGTTTAAACGAGCTTCTTCTTGGGAAA